TTTGCCTCCGCAGGAGTCGGCAGACAGTCCAGGGAGTCCGGAGGAGAGTGTGAGAACAGCTACGGGCCGAGCGCTGCGCCTGGCCGGGCCGGCGCCCGGGGGAAGGGTGCTGCTGAGCTTCGGTAGCGAGGAGGAGCGGGAAGGTGAGGGTTCGGCGGCGCGTCGTGTCCCCACCGCGCTTCCTGAGGGCCGGCGGAGCTTACCCTGCCCTGGGGTGGCAGCTGACGCCCTCACATCCCGCCGGCTTGGAGGGCAGGCTTTGGAGTCTCGGGAAAGCAGCCGGACAGCCGGTCTGGGTGCAGCCGGTCTGGGAGCTGGAGTGAGCAGGGTGCTCTTCCGCATCCCGCTTACGCGGGGTTTCCTGCCTCACTGAGTCCTGGGCTGTTGCCCGGGCGCACAGCAGGTCACCGTTATGTCTCTTTGGGACCAAAAATAGGTATACCGTGTTAGGGCTAGGGTGCCTTTGAGGGTTTACAAGAGAAACGCATATAAAATTACTTTGAAGATGTCACATGCCCATGTGCTTTTGGCTAGGAAGCGTTTAAAAGCTTCTTAGAGCTGGAGGAAACCAGAGAAAACAAGATTAATATGTGATTCGGTGACTAGCATAGTTAATGATGAGCTAGCTTAAATAACTGAAATGTAGATGTTTATTTGACTCTCCTGGACAGTTTCTTTTGTGGCTGATGACAAAGTGGGTCAGGGAAGCTTACGGAAGTCACCTTGTGATGGACACAGACTGCAAAGAAACACTACGTCTCAACAGTACAGTGTTGCTGTATCCAGGAGGCTGAGCTGCACATATTTAAATTAAGAGGTGGTGGATCATGAGTGATAAAGCCATAGAACCAGTTAGACTGTATGCAGCCAGAACTTCAAAAAATATGGTGTGTGCACATAGAGATTACATGCACTTTATATGTAATAGGTATGCACATATATATGCGGTATATGTACATGTATGTACTGCTCTCTTTGTTAATGTTACTCACAATTATTTTGTTTTATTTGGATAGGTGAAGAATTTTTCAAAATCAAAAAGCCATCCTTCAGTGAAGTAGCCTTTAGAGTTCGAAAGAAGGAAAGCCTACTGCCTGCACAGACAGAAACTGAAGAAAGTAAAAGTAAGTACTCATTTCAGTTAAGTATTTTATGGAATACTTCTATGAAAATACATTACAGAATCGGTAAATTCAGAGTCATGTACAAATACTGCTCTTAGATGTCTTTATGTGTTAACTGAACCCAAGACTATACTTGTAATGTTACTCTACAGGTTTATAACTTTAATCTATTTGTGCTGAAATTTTGTTAACTGAACCCAGGACTATACTTGTAATGTTACTCAACTTTAATCTATTTGTGCTGAAATTATTTTCCACGTGACCTTGGTAAAACACTGTCAGAACTTGGAGCTTATTCTTGGAGACCTGGGTTTGCAGAACCCTCCTGTAGTACATGAGAGTTAATAAACTTCTGATAAATTTATACCGTAGCATCATATCTTTCAAATTATGGGGCAACTATCTGCTGCTTATTGCTGTCAAATTGCAGTTTGAGCTGAGTATTTGCATTGAGAGAAAATGGAAGCCTAATATGACTTTGTTTGATAAAACTTAATGTAAACCTTGAACTGTGTAATCGCGAACTGTTTAATAACAGCATTTGAGTATTTTAATTGAATACAAGCAATTGCCTTGGTTGTTCTGGTAGTATTCCTGGTTTCATTGAACTATAGGAAGTTTCCAAGTGGGATTTTTGGAGGGGGGTGTGTTCTGCAAACAAGTGTGTCTGAAGGGTCTTTTCTCTGTTCCCCTTTTGAGTCTGTCAATTCACAGATATACCCTGTTTGCTACCATTAGACAGAAATCAATTTGATTGAGAAATAATTTCCTTTGAGATTGTGATTCACGTGAGATGGTATATTTTCTTAGTAACTTCTTATGAAAGTATACCTCATACTCTTACAGCAGGTGGCACATCCTGTTCGGTAATCTGGTGATTAAACGAAGATGTAGTGGCAGGTGGAGAGAAATCAGTGTTTTTAAAGAATGTGGAGATAATCGGAGACAAGACAGACATACGTAAACTTTTGTAGTTTAAACATGGACTCCCTGTTTGCTAATGCTAAAATAAAAAGTGCTTTCTAAATGCGGTTTAAAAAGTCTCAAGGGAGATGAACCCAAACATGCTGTGAGCTATCAGGATATTAATCAGTTGTTGTCTGGGAGATGATAGAATTGCTTTTTATGCATGTAAATGTGTTCCATATCTCAGAAGGACATACTAGTTTAGGACTGTGACAGATGCTTTGATTCGTGACAAGAACTAGCTTGTAAATGACTGTCTTGGAGTGTCGAAAGACTTGACATGTTTTGGTGTCAGGTGGAGATAGATAAGTGACCAGCCTTTGCTGCAGCAAGGTGTGAATAGTTGCTGGCAACCAGTTAAGACACATCAGATTTCCAGCAGCTGAAGTCAGGAATCTTATGCTTTTTCCTCTAATACAGAAATCTGTCAGTTGGAGCCTAGAACTGGCAACACCAAAGGCACTCCTGAAGAAGAGGAAGAGGAGAAGGATGATGAAAGTTACTCTTCACTGAGTGAGGACTACAACAGTTCAAACTCAGAAAATGAATCCAGCTCTCCACAGAGGAGAAAGGATTTATTGCCAGGTTAGTTTCCTGGATTATTTTGCAAGCAAGTTATTTTACAACATCCTTTGTTTGATGTATGGGACAAGATAGGTGAGATGAATCACACTTTGCTTAAATCATGTGAGGTGTAGGCTATTATTCTGGAAGAATAGTCACAGTTCCCCTATATTTTTTGTTGCATGTTTGTTGTATTTCTGTGTTAATTTTGGAAATGGATCAGGAGTTGACTATTGCTTTCAAAACAAAGGTAGCAAAAAAAAAATCCTTTTAAATGATGTGTAATTGCCTTGAGATTAAAATTTAACCTGATAATTGCTGTCTGATTTGTAAACTTTGGATTCCTTTGTAAACTTAGTAAGTTTAGTAATCCCTGTCTTACGGAAAGAGGACATGGAACAAAGGAGGGCAGGCTAATGGCAGTTTATTTAAAAGAAAAAAGTCTGAACTTTGCTTTTAGACTGAATGCCACCCTTTAAGGATGCTTTTCTATCTCCTTATATTCAGCATGGTAAGCTTGATAAAAACTACGTTGTGTCCTATATCCCATGTATGGTGGTCCTGAAAGCAGTGATTATTGACATTGGGAGCGATACAGAGCGGTGATTTTACTCCTTTGCTTTGCTCTTTTCTCTTCAATTCAGGCAATATCCCCAGTGCAGCTTGTATTGATGCTGCTCGGAGGAAACGTCACTTAGCCAGGACACAGGCTGATTATCTTCCACTGGATGTTTCAAACAGTCATCAGGTCTCTTGGAGAAGAGAAGACAGTGATTTAGAGAGTGAAGAGGAGTCTGATGTGAAGGATCTCAGATTTGTTCCTCAAATGAGAACTCTTAGGCAGAGGATGACTGAACACATGGGTGAGTTCATGCCATTTCTGGCAGCAGTTGTGGCTTTGTTTTACTGACGTCTGGAAGAATGCGGGACTTGCCAGGTAAAGCGTGAGTGCAGCGCAAGGCTTTGTTCCTCAGGGGTCTTGGCAAAGACTGCAGCTGGTGCTTGATGTTTATGTGGGGCATTAATCTGGTTTAGGTCTCACTAATGTGGTGCAGGATGCTTTGAGAAACATTTTAAAAAACAATTTTTTGTCTTGCTGACTGCGAAAAATTGCCTTGTAGGCACAGCGTGTAATGTGAGTACAGTTGCTGTGGTGTAAGACAATTTGTCCCCATGAAGCTTTCTAAATCCTGCTTTCTGCTTCTGGTCCAGTTTTGCCAGTGCTCTCCCTGCCATTCGTGTTATGGCTGTTCTTGAAAAGGGAAAGAAAGACCCAGCAACCCAGCCCTTCAGAAGTAAACCAACCTATTGCACACAGAGCATACCTGGCTTTGCCATTGCTTTTTTAAGATCTGATAGCTGCTTACGGTTTTGTTTATGAAACAGTAGCTCATCACAGTTGCACTGATTTTCTTTGTTTAGGTAAGGGCTGTAAGGAATGCCTAACTATGAGCTGATTTTACAATTCTAATTAATGGTTAAGAGAGATTTCTCTGCCTATAGAAGGGCATGCATTTTGGAGTACTCGGCGATTTGCTGTGTGTAATGTCACTGAGTTGTAGTCTGTGTGCTCGTATTTATGTATAACACACAGCTTTGCTTTGGGACATAAAAATGAGATGTTTGTGCTCCCTTATACTACAGTGGTGGTTGTCTGAGAAACAGTATGTTGGGGAAATCAATATTGGTACGAATTCTACAAATCCCATTAGCCGTTTCCAAACCTTCCTTGCCTTTCAGTTTGAAAATCCTCCATCTACAGCTTTTAATTTACTGCTTTTTGTGTGTATCACTTTCCAGTAATCATTGGGAGAATTATTGTTGCTGTAGAGGGAGGAGAACATGGGAGGGCATAAATAGACAAAGGATGTAATTACATCTAATAATGACTGTTTTGTTTTCACTGCCAGTGTCTGTGGGTGATGGATCAAGTGAAGATGAAGCACAAATTAAGTGGGAAGAACAGCAAATAAAGAAAGCCGTTAAACTCTCACAGGTGATGCATGCTTTCCTGACCATTGAAAGATGCTTTTTGCTCATTAGCAGGAGACCTAGATCTGGAGTACTGTCTTATCTCCTACTTGCCCTCTCATTAGAGAGGTTTCTAGGAAGCTACACCCTCATTCTTCAGAGAAATGACAATTAGAAATAGGGCAAGATAATGAAAATCTGTAATCTCTGGCTGTTCAGAAGCAGAGCATTGTTGTCTACCTGCATGTGATGGAAGACTGAAAAGCAGAGGATAAAATTCTGAATGCCTATTTTTTTTTTTTTTTCTGCTGAGCAAGGGATCTGTAAAGTAAGAGTATGCAAATACTACAGATCTTAAAATCACAGAGCAAAAATCATAG